AGTTCAAGTAGATAAAAATGGTAAAAAAAAATATACCTCATAAGTATAAATACACCAAACTCAAAAGAACCTGTGCATTCAACCTCATATCCATATTGTCACATTATAAAAAATTCAAATGTTGGGGCTGGAGAGATGAGATGGTACAGTGATTAGGAGCACTGGCTGCTTTTGCAGAGGACTCGAGTTTGATTCTCAGCAGTCACATGGTGGTTAACAAACCTTCCTAACTCCAGTTCCAGGGAATTTGATGCCCTCTTCTGACCTCCATTGCACAACATGGGCGCACTTACATACATGTAGGCAGTATACTCATACACATAAAATAAAAATAAAATGTTTAAAAATTTAAATATCACATAAATGTTATTTGTTTAATTTCTACATGCAGTTTTTAATTTATATATATATATATTTTACTTTTGTTTTATATGTGTAAAAAACTATGTGTGTATGTGTAAGAAATTTATATCTTATTTTCTTAAACACAAGTGAGGATCAGGAACAATGTCTTTGTTATTGTTACAGAGCACAATAATATTGAATGTTTTGTTGATCCCATTTTAAAATACTAGTATATTACAGATACTTAAGTAATGTTGCCCTGTATTATAAGCATGCAACTTAAAAGCCTCTCCTTTATTTCTTTGTACATTAAATTGGATGGCAGCAAGAGGGAGTGGTGGCATAGGGAAAGGGAAATCTAAATCCCACCAAATTATATTATATGAAAATCACAAAAATTCAATATAAAAGGAAGAATTTTTGAAAGCCTGTACATTATTTAAGCTTGAAAAGTATTTATTTTGGGGATTGGAGAGCTGGCGTAGCAGTTAAGAGCACTGACTGCTCTTGTAGAAGACTCAGGCCCAAATCCCAGCACCCACATGGCAGCTAACAACCATCTGTAACTCCAGTCCCAGGGGATCCGATGCCCTCTTTTGACCTCCTCAGGCAATGTACGACATGGATGGGTGCACTTACATACATGAAGGCAGTACAGTCAAACACACAAAATAAAAATAATAAATAAAATATAAAAAGAAAAGTATTTATTTGTGTGTTGATATTTAATTGTTTAATCCAATTAGAATTTTTACAGTTCTTTAATTTTCTTACTCTAATAAACCTCTCATTCTTTTGAAGTTTTAGTAGACATTAACATACCTTTATTCTTTATTATGTGTATTTACATTTCTATGTTTGTATGAGGGAGAAAAAAATGTGTGCTGTAGTATAAATTAAAGCATTTTTTAAAGTATTTTATTTATTATTTTTTATTTTATGTGTATGAGTATATTACCTGCACGTATGTGAGTGCACCCATGTTGTGCAATGCTGCGGAGGTCAGAAGAGGGCTTCAGAAAACCTGGGTCCTCTGCAAGAGCAGTCAGTGCTCTTAAGCACTGAGCCATCTCTCCAGCCCCTAAAGCATTTTAAAAATTATTATTTATTTTTATTTTATGTGTATGAGTGTTTGGTTGCATGTATGTAAACGTACCACATATACAATGCTCACAGAGGCCAGAAGAGAGCATTGGATCATCTGGAACTGAAGTTACAGATGGTTATAGGCTGCCATGTGGGTTCTGGGAACTGAACCCTGGCCCTCTGCAAGAGCAGAAAGTGCTTTAACCACTGAGCATCTCTCTGGTCCCAAATTGATGCTTTTTCTTTATAAAATTGAACTTTTGTAATTTTCATACAATGTAGTTTATGGTATTTGGATCCTCTCCTTTATCTGCACCTCTCCCCACTGCCTCCTGCCTAATTTAATACACACACACACACACACACACACACACACACACACACGGCTTATAGAGTCTGATTTGTGTCCCTAAATGTGCTTCAGTGAGGGTCCATTCCTTAGGCCCACCAAGAGTCCCATCCCTGTAAGACACTGTCTCTCCCCCTCCCAGCAACCATCAATTATCAAAAGTCCCTTAGGTTGTGTTGGGATTTCTTACCCACTTCCCCAAGTCTATGCTGGGATTTTGTCTGGTTTGAGCGTGATGGGACTTGCGCATACTGTCTCCATTGCTGTGAGTTCATACGAGTAACTGACCAGCTATTTGGAAGACTCTGTTTCCTTGTAGTCATCTACCCTCTGCAGCTCTTACAATCTTTCTGGCTCCTCTTCCGTAATAATCCCCGAGCCTTGAGAGGTGGAGATTTGAAGTAAGTGTCCTATTCTGGGATAAGCACTCTGTAGCTTTTTGTTCTCTCTACATTGGCCAGTTGTGGTTTTCTGTGTAAATCACCATCTGTTGCATAAGAAAATTCCCCTGATGAGAGATGCATTCTTTCTATGTGTAGAGGTTGCATTTTATGAAGTTATTCAGTGACGGTTGAATAGATGAGTGAATGAATAGCTAAGAATGGCTTAAATACTTTGTTACAGAAGAATGGTCATCAATATAGATATAGAAACAAGATAATTTTCCAAAATTTTCATATAACAGATAAAAATTATTTGTACAGCAGGTAGTGATAGTAGGAATGAGCTACAAATGAAGACATAACTAATAAGTTAACTTACATAAAGTTGTTAATTATTAAATTATCAAACATACAGCACAAATATAACTGTGCCCTCGCCTTCATTCATGCCAGTTATCTTAAGTAAGCCACACTATTTTATTCAGATAAAGTCTGGACATACTAAATAGTCATTATAACCAATGCAGATTAGTTGAATGATGGATAGTAGATGAAACATTTTTGTCATTAAAGCTCTAGTTTCCTTTTTAATAAGAATCATTAAGAAGTAGTTACTAGTTCATAGAATAGTTCTGTTTCTGTTGGGCTATTCTTCCTGTATTTCTTTTTTCCTGTACTATAAAGTCTGTTGGAATTCTACATCTTACTTCAGGTTTCATTACTGAAACGTGGCAGTTCTCAGACTTAACTGCTGAAAATGACTATCCAATATTGAGGTTTCTTCATGTTCCATTTAAAACCTCTGTGATTGTGCTTTCTCTGTTCTCTTTGTGATTCAGAAACAATAATCTTAAATCTTCTTTAAAACCAGTTTCCTCTTCCTGTTGAAGGGTGAATTGAAAATTGATCCTTCATTGCCTAGAAACATGACCATCAAGTTATTTCCTGTGTAATATTATTAGATATCCCTTGGAGACAGCAATTCTAGACTTTATGTTTTAATTAAAGATTTCCAGTATCATATAGGTTATACATTAATTAGACTATCAATTAACTTTGCAATGATTTGTCATAACAGGTCTTCTGTTTTGGTGCTTTCCACAGGATAGATGAAATTTGGTTCCAAGAGATATATTGTTGAAAAATTCAGTGAAATGGGCTGAGAATATAAACTGTTCACCCCTGTGTAACAGCTCACTCATAAGTTTCACTCTTACATACGTTACAAAATGGAATCATGTTGGAAATTTATCATTTACATTCTTTTTTATGTTGATCTGCCAGCATAATGTCAAAATTCTGATCAGCTCTTCTAACAGTTACTATGTACTGTTTTAAGTAAATTCTAGGAAATGTTATTATGCAATGACACGTGCTGGCAAGATTGTCTGTGAACTTACTCTCTTTTTAGGAGTATCTAGAAAAGCACGATCAAGGCAAATTAGAGAGACTGATAATTATTTAAATAGAAGACTCATTAAATCTCATATTACATATGGAGAAATTCTGATTGCTCTGGCTATGAAACAGGTCTGACCAGAAAGCCCATTATGAAGATGAGACTGGAATAATAAAGCTAACATGTCTGTAATCCCAGAATCCCTACAGTAAAATGGGAGACTGACACAGGAGAATCTCCCTTCAAGCTTGCAGGCCAACTAGCTTAGAATATGAAGTGCAGTGACAAACAGAATAGACTGCCTCAAATTACAGTACAGAGACTGTAAATACAAGTTAGGTGGAAGGGGAGGACCAATACCCAAGGTTGTCCTCTGACCTCCACTGACACAGTGAGGCACATGTGGGCTCTCATATGTGAACAAGTACACAGACATTGACCACACACACACACACACACACACACACACACACACACACAATGGCTCTCTGACCTTAAACATTTTTCTGTTGCTACATAAATGCCAAGCATCTGAAAAGTAAATGATTTATACTCTCATTTAGATGTAACTACCACTTCATTTTGAACTCTGATATTTATCATTGGTGTGTACTTAATTTATCTCTGAAGTGACTTTTATTTAAATAACTAAACAATAAAGCTCAGTGGAAAGATACTAATTTTGTAACTTAACAGGAATTGTTTTTCCCAGCAGTTTTGCCACTTATTAACTCTTAGTCCTGGACAAGAATGAAGAAGAGAAAAAAAAAGACAGAGGGAAAAAATTCAGTCTTAGTTTCCTCTTTGTAAAACAGAAATACATGTATGTGTACATTGCTGTATTTGGAATGACAGTGTAGTTGATCTCATAGAAATAGTGGTTAGAATGATGGATACCAGAAGCAGAGGTCAGGGAAAGAATGTAGGAGACAGGGTTGGGGGTGGGAGAGGTTGATGAATGGTGCTAAGTGTCAGATAAGAACAGGAAGCTCTGGAGTACTTTTGCACAGTACAGAGACTGTAAATACTAGTAACATACTATGCAGTTAATAAAGCTAGAAGAAAAGATTTTGTAAGCTTTTATAATTTAGAGATGATAAACCTGACTTAAACATTATTTATTTTAGTCAAGCATTACATGGTTCCTTATTAGTACCTACAGCTTTTATGTTTTAATGTATCAGTCAAAAATTAAAACTAGATACAATTAAAATCATACCTGTATAGGCACTACTTAATAGTGATTCATTATTGTTTTTAGTGATATATTATTTTTGTCCTATATCCTTTTATTAATAAGTAAATTCTCTCTCAGTGCATACATTTTTTATCATCTATATAGCTATATTTACCTCTTAGAGTAATAATATGTTTAAAGAAAATTAACTGATCAAAATGTAAAACACAGATGTTTTAATTGTAATTTTCTTTCTTTCAGAATTACTTACTGTCATCTACCTTTCCAGAGTAAATGGCTCTATGTTGGAACAGAAAGAGGAAATACACATATTGTAAATATTGAGTCTTTCATTCTTTCTGGATATGTTATCATGTGGAACAAGGCAATTGAATTGTAAGTTTGAACTTGGCTGTCACTTTGTTTGACTAAAATATTTCATATAGTTATGTATCATATTTGAATTATATTTATTTGATAAATCTATTGCTAATTTATAGTTAATTTGAATGAAATTTGCTAAAATAAAGCCATAAATAATTTTAAAATAGATATGATAGTATTAATGTGTGCTATTTTTTAAAAATATTATTTTTGAAGGATTTTTTTATTTTAATATTTTTTATTTTAATATTTTTATTTTATGTGTATGAGGGTATTGCCTGCATGTATGTGAGCGCACCCATGTCGTGCAATGCCTCAGGGGTCAGAAGAGAGCATGGGATTCCCCTAGAACTGGAGTTAAGGACGGTTCATAGCCACCATGTGGGTGTTGGGAATCGAACCCGGGTCCTCTGCAAGAGTAGTCAGTGCTCTTAACCGCTGAGCCATCTTTCCAGCCCCATGTGTGCTATTTTTTAGGTTTTTACAATTACTGTGGCAAATTAAAGCTATATTTACAAACTGGGAAGATAAAACAGGATAACTATGCAATCTACTTCTGATGGAAATCATCTTCTGGTATTATAATTTACCTTAGTATAACTTGAGTAAGAACAAATTGTTTTATATAAATACAATTATATTCAGTAAAAATGATTATTAATGACAATAGTTTATTTTTCTCTTGTCTCATTAAAATATTGTTCTGACTTCAAAGGAGAAACAATCTCCTTCATGATATATACAGAATTATTATTATTATCATCATTATTATTAGTGTGTGTGTGTGTGTGTGTGTATGTGTGTGGTTGATGGCAATTACCATGGGGTTAGTTTTAGCACTAATATTTAAGTTTCTGCATGTGTAAAATGTGTAATTTTGAAACCTATAACTTTATGGACTTCTAGTCTTGCTTATTTGTAGTGTACACATAGATCATTTTCTTTGTTAATGTTTTAATCAGCAGGCAGTTTTTATTTAATAAATTTTAGTTTTATGCATAGTAAGTCCTTAGTTAAGGTATGTTTGACATGAGGTTTATTCATGTTCTCACACATTTGTATCTTAAGTTATTATCTGAAGTTCTCATTAAAATGCTCTATTTTAATGAATCTTGACTCTGTTTTTAAAAATAAGACATTTGCTAAATCTCAATATTTTTATTTTACACCAGATTTCCCAAAGGGTGTTTCATAGATTTTAATAACTTTCAGATTTGTCTTTTGATTTAAACTATGATTTTATTTTTTAAATTGAGATAGTGCCTCACTTTACAACCAATGCTGGCCTTAACCTCACAATCTCCCTACCTCAGTACCCCTAGTCCTGAGATTATAAGCACCTGCCTGGCTTAAAGCATTGATTTTTATAATTTATTTTCTCAGTTTTATAAATGCAAGAATTATCTTTAAAAGATATTCAAACCCAAGTGTGGTGGCACAGTTCTATAGGTGCAGTATATAGGTAAAGGCAGGAGATCTCAAACTCAAGACCACTCTGGGATACATAATAAGAGCTTGTCTTAAAAAAAAAATCAAACTAACAAAAAATAAAAGGTGTCTTTTATTTTAATAAAGTAGTTTTTATTCAATGCTTATTTTTTATTTTTACTTTATGTCTATGAGTGTTTTGTCTGCATGTATGTATCTGTACCATGGATGTGCTGTGTCCACAGAGGCAAGAATAGGTGCTGGATCTTCTGGAACCACAGTTTCAGATGGTTATTTGCCTCCATGTGGGTGCTAGGAACTGAATACAGGTCCTCTGCAAGAATAGCCAGTACTCTTAACCACTGATCCATGTCTCTAGCCCAACACTGAATATTTTTTAGCTTTTCTCTATTTTCAGTGAATTATCTTAATTGTAATTATAATCAATTCCCCAAATTGTAAATAGTTTGTGTTTCAAAAAGGTATATATTGAATTATATCATGGTTATTTGGCATCAGGGACATTTTTTTTCTATAGAAACAATGTTATTTACAGAACATACTATAAAATAGTAGTATAGAATTAAACTGCCACTAAAAATACTTCTATGGGCAAGGTGTGGTGGTATACATCTGTAATCCCAGCACTTGGGAGGTAGAGTCAGGAGAATCACTGGAAGTTCAAAGTTGGTCTGTTGTACATACCAAGTTCCAGGACTACATAGTGAGACTGTTAAAAACTGAGGGGAGAGAAGTGGGAGAAAATCTTTACCAGCTACACATTTGACAGAGGATTAATATCTAGAACATACAAAGAACTCAAAAAGCAAAGAAACAAGAAAATAAATGACCCAATTAAAAGGTGGGCTATAGACCTCAACAGAGAGCTCTCAAACGGAGAAATAAAAATGTCCAAGAAACACCTTTAAAAGTACTCAACATCTTTAGTAATTAGAGAAATGCAGATAAAAACCACTTTAAGATTCCATTATACCCCCAATCAGACTGGCTAAGATCAAGAGAACAAAAACCACCAAATACTAGAGAGGATGTGGAGAAAGGGGACTGCTCATTCACTGCTGGTGGTAATGCAAACTTGTGCAACCACTATGGAAAGGAGTGTGGAGAACTCTCAAAAAAGTAAAATTAAATCTGTCATATGATCCAGTTATAGCACTCCTTGACATATGTATTAGTCACTTTACTGTTGCTGATATAGAAACTCCATGACCAAGGGAACTTATAAAAGGAAGAGTTTATATAGCTTACAGTTCCAAAGGGGCAAGAGTCAGTCCATCATGGTGGAGAGGCATGGTGTAAGAAGTGGCTAGAGGAAGAGTGGAAGCTAAGCTCTCACATCTTCAAGCAGGCACAGGAAGTAGGGAGTGACTCAAGATTTGGCAAAGTTTAAGAACTCTCTAAGCCCACCCCCAGTGATGTGCTTCCTTCAACATGGCCACACCTTCTAAGACCTCCAAAAATAGTGCCATCAACTGGGGACAAAAATGTCCAAATACTTGGAGCCTACAGGGGACTATTTCATTAAAACCATTACATTCCACTCCCTAGCTCCCATAGGCTCATAATCATTTAACATCTAAAATGCATTTAGTCCAACCTTAAAAGTCCCCATAGTCTTTACCAGTCTCAATACTATTTAAGGGTCTACAGTCTTCTAAGACTCAGAGCAATATCTTAACTTTAAGCCCCTGTAAAATCAAAAGGCAAATTACATACTCCCAACATACAGTGGAACCGAATACACATTCCCATTCAAAAAGGGAGGAATAGAGGAATAGTGGAGAAATACCAGACTAAAACAAGACCAAAAAACCAGTAGGGCAAACATCAAATCCAGCAGCTCCATGTCCAATTGCTTGGACTTTACCTCCAAAGGGCTTAGATGGCTCAGCCTCTCTAGCTTTGTAGTGTGAATCAAACATCTCTCTTGGGCTGGTGCCACTCCCTGTATGCAACTCTCCTTGGTAGATATCTCACATCACAAACATCTTCTTGGGGTCTACATTGCCAATCAGCCTTCACCTTCACAGCTTCACACAATGGCCTATCAGGGCTTTCTTTGTTCAGGGGCATCCTTGCTGCATGATGCCTGATCTCAGTGGCTCTCTGAAACGGTGGAGGAAGAAGCAATGACCCATTCACTGTTGCATCTTTCATGCTTCTAAAGCTAGCACCAGGTGAACAACACTGCCAAGTTTAGCTGCAAGTTTGGAATAGACCCTAACCTGTTTTATCTATTTTAGAAGCTTTTCTCTTCAGTGGTTTTCTAGAAGTAGAAACCCCCAGCATTTTCCTTTCACAAGTTGGAACCTTAACTGGGTGTGGTCTTGCCCTGGAAGCACTCTCTCCATTGTTAAGTGTAAATATCTAGGCCTTTCCTTAATCAATTCAATCTCCTTATCAAAGGGATTCTCTTTTAGCACATGCTTTGACCTAGTACTCTTTTTTTTAATCCAAACTGTACATTCTGCATTTCTTCCCCATTTGCTCTTTTTCACTGTAGATCTGCATAATATTCACCATTAGTAGCCACACCACCATTTCAACGTTAGGCTGTCTTGAAACATCCTCCACGAAAGAAATTAGTCCTTTGCTTTTCAACTTAGCCTCAGTCAAGCTTTTTGGCTGTGGGCAGACTCTAGCCAAACTCTTTGTCAGAATATCCCAATTGCTGTGTAAGTCCTTATTTACCTCTGGAACTACTTTGTTCTCAGCACTCCTTTCTTCCAGCACTCTTTCTTTCCTACTAGAATGGTCTGTTAAGCTCTGCTTACAGCAATCAACCACTCTTCTAGTCCAAACTTAATCTCCCACATTCCTCAAAAAACTCACATGGTCAGGTTCTTCACAGCCAACAGCCCACTCTCTGGTACCAATTACTGTAATGGTTACTTTTCTGTTGCTATTATAGAAACATTAACCAAAGCAACTTATAAAAGGAAGCATTTATTTGAGCTTATGGTTATGAGGGGCAAGAGTCCATCATGGCGGGAAGGCATGGTGGCAGAGGTGGCTGGAACAGGAGCAGAAAGCTGAGCACTCACATCTTCAATCAGGCAAGGGAAGCAAGATAGCAACTCTGAGATCTGGCAAGGCTAAAGAACTCTCTAAGCCCACCCCCAGTGATGTGCCTCCTCCAGCATAACCATGCCTTCTAAGACCTCCCAAAACAACATATCCAACTGGGGACAAAACGTCTAAATACTTGGAGCCTATAGGGGACATTGTCATTTAAACCACCACAGCATATACCCAAAGAACTCATCCTACTGTAGAGATACCTGTACATTCATGTTGGTTGCTGCTCTCTTCACATTAGATTTTGATAAAATTAGATTTAAAAATATTTATATGGGAAATGTTTATTCTAGGCTATAGCATGTAAATAGCAGTATTAGCATACTTTCTTTTTCTTCCTTTAAAAAAATCTTTTTGAAGGAAGGTCTCTCTGTATTCTATAGCCTTGTAGCCCCCACTGACCTGGACTAGCTGTGTAGACCAGGCTGGCTTCAGTCTCACAGAAATCCACCTGTCTCTGCTTCCCAAGTACTGGGATTAAAGGTGTATGCCACCACACCCAATATGTTTTCTTTTTTAAAATAAACACAATATATTTATTTTTATTTTATGTGTATGTGTGTTTTGCCTGCATATATATATATATATATATATGTGTGTGTGTGTGTGTGTGTGTGTGTGTGTGTGTATCATGTGGGTGCCCAGTGTCTGTGCAGGCCAGAAGAGGGTATTGGATACCCTGGAACTAGAATTATGGATGGTTGTGAGCCACCCTGTGGGTACTGAGAACTGTACCTGGATCTTCAGCAAGAGCATCAAGTGCTCCTACAGCTGCGTCACCTCTTCAGTCTCAGCATTAGCATTTGTAAAAGTTCAACATTTTTTTCTACATATAATTAAAATTTGGTAATGAAAATCAGAATTAAGTGACAAGTTGAGGTTTCTGGTTATCAAACAAATTCATTGAGCACTATTATTTGAGAAGACACAGTTACATTAAAAAGTAATTGGGAATTATTGAAAATATAATGTGGTACTCCATAAGAAAGAAACCTAATAAAGACCTAGGGCCTCAGAGAAGTATGGCTATGATGAACTCTGATGAGTTTGAGTTAGATGAATGAAGAATCTGGATGCAGGCAACAGTGTCTCAGGCAGAGGGAACATTGTTTAAAGGATGAAATGTGAATTTTTATGTCTACAAATTTTAAGTAGTTTTTAAATGTAATGGCTAGGGGAGAAGATGGAAAGAGCTAAAGAGCTAAAGCTGAGGGGGTTGGGTATCAAGGCACAAATGGCCTTGGAAGCCCATTTGAAAAATTTGGACTTAAGAAACATTTAAACTTTTCTTAGAACACCACACTTATGTGTAAGTGGTATGTTACACATGGTATGAGCATATAAAGAACTAAAAACACTAGAAACTTTCCATTGTAACCTCATGTAACTTTCTTTTTCAAGAATATACTCTAGAATACAAAAAGGAATTTTGATTTTCAACTGTCATAACAATCACAATACATACTATTGAATATGTGCTATGTTTTGCCATTAAATTAAGTACTCTATATATATAATTTTTAATCCTCATAGTTACTCATTAAGGTCCATGGTACTATCTCCATTGTTAGATAAGAAAATATAGCTATGAATGGGATTGATCTGTTCTTAGAATTGAGCAACATCGTGTGTGTGTGTGTGTGTGTGTGTGTGTGTGTGTGTGTGTGTGTGCATGTATTCCTCTTTGTCACTCCCAGGAATTAGTATAACGGGAACTAACTCAGCATTACTTCATTATCACTTTTTTTTCTAATTTAAATTAGTTCTTAAGATTTGAATAGTCTTTATTGTTTTGAACAGGGTCTTCATGGATTTCATGTATGCTTGAGAATGAAGTAGAAGTCTATCAATTCTGTCACAGTAGGATTAACCAGGCACAACTGTATCATGAAAAGGATTGTGGAAAATTTAGAAATAACTCTCTAGACATGTCAGAAGATATCATATTTAGCCATGACATACTCATATTCAATAATCATATATTAAATTAGATATTGTAAAGAAAACAGGCCAGAAAATCAATAGAATAAGTCAAATTGACAAGGTCCTTTTAAGAGGATGCTATTAGACACCTAGTTATTTATTATTGATTACACTAGATAGTAAGATAAACTAGACATAATAAATGAATTAAATTTCTGCACCTAGTCTGTTTTCTCTAAGATGGCTTCACTAAAAAGTCACTAGAGCATTTCTTTTTAAATACAAGATGTCACTGTACTTTTCTTCAGGGGCAAAGTTAGAGGAAATTTCATGTCAAGGGAAATATTAAATCAGGTAAGTACTTTACACTTTGGTTGGAATAGTTTTATTGTGTCAGCCTTGTGGCTTTAGCATTTGTTTGTATAAATATTTCATTAAAATTATTCAAGGACTCATAGATGCCAAATATTTAATGCAAAGTACTCTTTTTTGCAGAGCTTTGTTATCAAATTTTATTTTTTTAAATAAAAAACCATACACATAAAAAATTTTAAACTCAGACTTCTCTAATAGGAAGAACAAAGGTAGTTCATAAAAACAGTCAAAATTTCAAGTGACTCTGAGACCTAACCCCACAATATTGGCAGTTTGTTCCAGTATGATCTTAATTTCTGTCATTTCTGATATTTACTTTTTAATTATTGTGTTTAATTGATTTAACAGATCCACCAAGACTCATCCAGGTCCAGTTGTACATTTAAGTGATAGTCCAAGAGATGAAGGGAAAGTAAGTAGGCTACCATTAATCTTGCTTTTATTTTCCTTATTCTTAGAAAAAATATTTCTAACTATTATTTGATATATAACAACTAGCTCAATTTGTAGCATTCAATGGCGTCTAAAGTTACTACTTGTTGAAATTATGAATGAACAAGTGAACAAATAAATGAATGACTCATGCTATGGATGCTCTAAAGTTTAAGTTAAGCCTTGATGCTAAATTGATACTTAATTCTGGAAGGTAACAGAGAGTAGCTTTTATTTTGAAATATTCTAGATTGAATTTAACTAACGTATTATTAATCATGCCTCTGTTACTCAGTTTTGATGTTGACAAATGACCAATATTCAGTAACATAAATTAGATAATTTTGATTTTATAAATATGTACTAATATAGAAAATATTTCTCTATTATACTATATATTATATATATACTATATATATTATAACTATAATTATCAACTTAACTGGATTTAAAAATGCCATAACTTAAACTTTAGAGCAATTAAAAGAATTAGTTAAGCATACCTCTGGATGTGTCTGTGACAGAGTTTCTGGGGACAGTTAGATAGTAAGGGCTCTGGCATGAGGTCTCCTAATATGATGGTATTATTGGAAGGTGGCAGAAGGAGGATACTGAGCCTAGTTAGAGGAAGTAGACCACTGGGGGGGGGTCCTTGGAGGTATTTCTGCCCTGTTTTTTTTCCCTATATGTACTGTCTCTGTTTCCTGACCCTCCATGATATGAACTGCTCTTTTCTGCCTCGTCCTCTGGACTATGGTGGACTAAACCCTCTGAAACCATGAACCATAATAAATCTTTTCTTCTGTTAGTAGGTATCACAGATATATTAGGCAAAGCTATGCATAAGTAACCAACACACTATGAGATTAGAGAAATAGTCCCTGTTCACCTTGATTATTTCATAATTTGCCTTTGATTATGAAACAGTTAATAACATAACAATATCTAAAAATTATTATGAATCTCTTGTAAAATATATAATTTTTCTAGGTACCATGCAGAATATTAATAAAGTACTTACCTTCAAAGGATAAGAACTCAGTTACTCAGTCTAACAATAATTGAACTCAGAAGGCAAATCTGCCTGATTAAACAACATTAAATGTCTCTAAATTGATCTATAAATACAATGTAATTCCAACCAGGTACTGTCAGAGCTTATTTTTGAAGAATGCACAAGATTATTTTAAAATTTACCAGAAAAAAATATTTAAGAGTAGTCAAGACATTTTTGAAAAAGAAACACAATATGATTTTTGGTACAAGGGTATAGGAGGAGAAGACTAATGCTATTTTAGTAGATATTCCTGAAATCTTTCAGGCATTTGAAAAAATGTTGTAAATTTTAGAGAAGATACTTTGGGGCATGATTAACTTATGAATAAACAGCATTAGATAGTTGGCTATCCAGTTTGAAAAACACGAGTATCATTCACAGTAGAAAGTATTTGGAGAAACTTACAGGATATAGGTTGTCACCATGAAGTTAGAGACACATTCATACATAAAATCTAAAGCTTTAAGAAATGCTGCAGCAAGATGCAGGTAGGTAAGTGGGAGATAGTATTTTCTATTTGTAATAGACAAGTAGTGAATGTACAGAATATAAAGAACTTGTATTGCATCCATGTCTTTTGTGATAAGAAATCAATAGAAAACGTTCAGTTAACAAATCAGGAAATAAAATGTTCTATAAGTATATAGAAATATGAATGTAAGTATAGTAGAAAGGGTAGCTATAAGAAAGCAAGGGCCAGGCATAGTGGCACATGCTTTAATCCCAGCACTTGGGAGGCAGAGGTAGGTGGATCTCTGTGAGATTGAGGCCAGCCTGCTCTACATAGTGAGTTCCAGGTCAGCTGGGGCTACAGGGAGACCCTGCATCAAAAAGACCAACAAAAAAAAAAAAAAAAAAAAAAAAAAAAAGAAAGAAAGAAAGAAAAAGAAAAAAGAGAATGAGAGAAGGAGGGAGAGGGAGAGGGAAGGAGGAAGGAAGGAAGGAATAAAGGAAGGAATAAAGAAAGAAATTCAGGTAGGGCTTGTGAGATGGCTCAGTGGTAAAGGCACCTACACCTAAGTTGCAGCAATCCCCAAGCCCACGCTATGGAAGGAGACAACCAGAGCTTAGTGAGTCCCCAGGTTGTCTTCTGACCTCCATATGTGTGCTCAACTCCATGCTTACATGTACATACATGCACACAAAGGAAATAAGTAAAGGTGAAAAAAAATACTTTAAGCAACAATAAAATCCTGTTTCAGGATTCAATGGTTCGACCATTTGTTGCTCTTGCAAAGGACTGGAGTTTGGTTCCCTGAACACATGTCAGGTGGCTCACAGAAGCTTGTAACTCCATCTCTAGGGGATCCAGCAGCACCCTATTCTGCCGCCCCCCCCAGCACCTGCATGCACACACATATAAATAAATAAATAAATAAAAGAAGTCTGTATAAAAAAGAATTGAAAGCATAGTTTTACTCTAGCAAGCAAAGTTTGGAAATGAGGAGAAGACATCCTTACTAGTAGTCAGGAAAATGAAATGTACCACTTTCTAATCAGACTGGCAAAATGCTAAAAATTAAACTATTAATAAATAATAGTAAAAGCATTGGAATAGGATGCTGACATATATGTATGTACTGCTATGAGAAACAGTATCATAGACGTTTAAGACATGTTTCTAATTGTTACCTAATCTATTTCACATATTTATACAAGTTATGTGGATAAGGAGCAAAATAATAAAGCAACTTGAATGTCTATTAATAGAAGGTTGAGTAAATTAATGCCAAAACGCTCATAGTGGAAAGTTCTTTAAGGCACATTTTAAAAAGAAATTTGCAAAGTAGTAAGGTGTAGAACCACTTGAATGATGCATTTGGATTAGTTTTATGTACTGCATGCCCCAGAAAAACAGCCTAAAAGAATAAATACAAATCTGGGGAGGAAACAGAGATGAGATTGAGAAAAATGATAAAAGGTATTCCTGTTTTGTTTGTATTATTCAAATTCTATGAAAGAATATGGTGTGTGATGATTGTATTACTGACAAAAAAGAATGCAAAAATAAATGGACATTGATGCCAGAATACTACTCTGAATTGTTTGAATTGTGGCTCTACAGACTATTAGTATATAACTCAGAATAAATCTGTTAACTTCTTGTATTTAACTTCTTGTAGGCCGGTTTTTCAGCTTTTCTATCTTCGTCACATACAAGGTTTTGATTTTTCTATATTCAATGTTTTCAGTCATTTTATTTGATTCTTTTTTTTTTTTTTTTGAGGCAGGGTCTCCCTGTAGCTTCAGCTTTTCTGGAACTTACTATGTAGACCAGGTTGGCTTTCATTTCCCAGAGATCCACCTGTCTCTGTCTCTAGAGTGCTGGGATTAAAGATGTGAGTTACCATGCCCAGATGTCTTTCCCTTCTTGAAAAAAATATAACCCTACTTTTTCTGTTAATTTTAAAGAGCTGCATGTCACAATTAAATTTATGCATAATTTATTGTATGTTAATTTGATATAGGGATATACTTTTATTTTGTATATCTAATTAATCTGCTTATTAGATTTAGCTTCCCACTGATTTGCAAGACTTCTCATTTATGTGTCAAGTTTCTGTATTTTAGCAAGTCTGAGATTTCTCCTTGGTTGTTCATTGTATCTATTATTGTACTAATGACACATTTATAGGTTATAACAACTTGCAAATTGTTTGAACAGAAGACAAGCTGATCCCCTTCTTCTCAATCACTTTGGCTATTTATGACCCTTTATTTTATTATATTATGTGAATTTTAGAATCATCTTTTTAAGTTTCATATAATTTTCAGGGACGTTGTTTGTATAATTTAGAGAAAATTTAATTTTAGATATGGTTGTTCCATCTATGAGCACAATATATTTGGCTTTTGCTTTCCTTTATATTTTTTATATAACTATAATATTTTCCATGAGTCTTAAATATCTTTTGGTAGCTTAAATCTCTATACATTGTAGATTTATAGCTGTTATGACTTAACTTTCTTTTTAAACACTTATTTAGACTCTGTGTGTATGTGTGTGTGTGCGTGTGTGTGTCTCTGTCTGTCTCTGTCTCTGTCTCTGTGTCTATGTGCTGCCAGTGTAAATGAACCTGTCACGGGTGTGTGTACAAGTTGAAGGAAAATTTTGTGGAGTTAGTTTGCTCTTTTCACCTTGTGGGTTCTTTGGATTGAACTCAGGTCAATGGACTCAGCAGCAAGTGATTGTGCCCAGTTGAGCCAGCTTGCCAATCCCTCACTTCATTTTCTTAGTCAGTTTGATAATAGTTGATTTTTAGCATATAAAATATTGTCACTGTTTTTCAAAACTGAAGACATTATTGTTTTAAAAATATCTGACTTAGAATCTCTGGCATAGCCCATTTATGAAAGTATGACAAATGTAGATAACTTTTTGGCTTTTTTCCTTCCCAATATTGATAGTTATATGTATCTTAATTTTTTTTGTTGGCCAAGAACTAGCACAGTCTTTAGTGTAAATGATTTCTTCCTGGATTTGGGGATTTACCTAACAAGTTGAGACCCTATATTCTGTCCCTACCACAAAAAAGGACAAAAATGTTTCCATGTATTTCTAGTATTCTAAAAGTTTTAAATTATAAATGGTGGTGAATTTCATTAAATGGGTTTCTACATGTATCAAGATAACTATCTCTTATTTGTTAATTTGTTGAAATATTTTAATAGATTTTCCTATTTAAACATTTTTGAATTTCTACAATGAATTCAACTTGAAGAGGAAAGCTTCCCTTCAATACTTGATGATAAAGTGAAAACAGAAACAAAGTTTACTTCTAGATATTTTGTTTGAGGCTATTGTGACTTGGAGGGTTTCATTGTGTACTCTTTTACTGATTGCTTGTTATTGATATATAGAAATGCTACTGATTTTTGTAAATTGATTTTATATCCCACTACTACTTTGCTGAAAGTATTAT